TTCTTCTTACAATGGGTTGATCAAGCAGTGGTAAGTGAGATTTATGTAATATTACTATTTTATATATATATTTTTATATTAAATTAAAATATTTTATGTATATATTTTTTGTTGGAATTTAAACTAACTAATATTTTCATTAGTTTATTGGATATTAGTATTGTTAGATTTATTGTTTTAGCTAAATTTTATAGATACCAATAATTTTTTGATAATTTTCTAGTGAAATTTTGACAATTAATGGTGAAATTTCAGTAATAATTATTTGATATTAGCATTGCCAGATTTGTTGCTTTGAGTAAATTTTAGGTTAAATGCCACAATTTTGGTCCCTCAACTTGAAGGTTTTGCACAATTTTCATGTCTCAACCTTTTTGTTCACTTTTGATCCCTTAACTATAAAAAGTGCATTTTTTTAATCTCTCATCAATTAGTCCATTAAATTATCTTAATATGCACATTTTAATTAAGGGACTAAAAATGTGCATATATTAGAGGTTGAGGGAGTAAAAATGTGCATATCTAGACAAATTTAATGGAGTAACTAATAAAAAGACTAAAAAATATAATTTTAATAGTTGAGGGACCAAAAAAGTATATAAAAAAAGTTGAGGGATGAAAATTGTGGAAAATTTTAAAAGAAGTTAAGGGAGAAAAAATGTGCATATATTAGAAGTTGGAGTAAAAATGTGCATACATTAGAAGTTGAGGGAGTAAATGGATTAACTAATAAAAAGACTAAAAAATATATTTTTCATAGTTGAGGGACCAAAAAAGTGTATAAAAAAATGTTTAGGGACGAAAATTATGAAAAACTTTAAAAGTGAGGTTCCAAAATTTTTTGGTTAAAATACAACTTTCAAATTTATACCAAATTTATCCTCAAACTTTAAAAAATACTAAATTGTCCCTAAACTTTAATTTTTGAAATCAAAATAATCCCTGAACTTTAATTCAATATCAACTTAGTCCTTAATCTTTGAAGACAAATACCAACTTAGACCTTAAAATTTCATTATAAGTATCAATTTAATCATTCAACTCTAATTACATATCAATCTGATATACAATTAGAAATATACCATGATAGTAAAATATAATTATTTGATTTTATATATCATTAATATTTTTTAAAAAATTGATTTTGTGGCAAAATAATGAGTCAAGTGACACTTTTGTTAACAGAAGGACTATTTTGGTATCAAAAATTAAAGTTTAGGAATAATTTTGGTACTTTTTAAAATTTAAGGATAATTTTGATATAAATCTAAAAGATTAGAGACTAAATTGATATTTTAACCTAATTTTTTAGCAAATTTTCAATGAAATTCTTATGATTAATGGTGAAATTTAAACAATATAATAACTACCCTTATTTTGTTGTTGCATCTATTTTAAATTGTATTATGTTAAATTTAAATACAATTTCTATAATTTAATAGTATATATTAATATATTTTGTTAAAAAAATAAATTAATTAATAATTTAATAATTATTTTGTAAGTTAATATTTTAGCTTGTGGATCCTCATTGATCCTCATTATATAGCAAGTTCTATTTTCACTATACTATTATAGTTTGTCAAGAATTTTTTGGTAATTTTTTGGTGAAATTCTAGCGATCAAGGGTGAAATTTTGGCAATATAATAATTGATCTTATTTTGTTGTTGTATTTATTTTAAATTGTATTATATTAATTTTAAATGTAATTTTTATAATTTAATAGTATATATAAATATATTTTTTAGTGAAAATATATAAATTAATATTTTAATAATTATTTAATAAGTTAATATTTTAGCTTGTGGATCCTCATTAAATAATAAGTTTCATTTTTCACTATATTTTTATAATTGTATGGTTAATTATTTATTTTTTTGTTAAATAAAAATTCAATAATTTGTGTATGATAAATTTTGTTGATGAATAAATTTAACATGTTTATATATATGTTAGCTTAGTTAATGAAGTATAAAGGTTAAATCCCCATTTTAGTCTCTCTACTTTGGTAAAAAGTCCTTTTTTTGTCCCTCTACTTAAAAAGCTCCTTTTGGTCTCTAAAATTGAAATTCAAAATCTGATCTCTTTTTAGTCCCTCTATTAAGTTTTGTACATGTAACATGTTAGATGATAGAAATTTCAAAGTAGAACCAAAAAGGGATGAAAAATAGCTCCAATTTGGTCCCTCTACTTTGAAACAAGCCCCTTTTTGGTCCTTTTATTTTGAAATTTTCGTCATCTAATATCAAAACTTAACGGAGGGACTAAGAAGAGATCAGATTTCAAACTTTAGGGATAAAAAAGTGGTTTTTTAAAGTAGAAGGACTAAAAAGGGGCTTTTTGCCAAAGTAAAGGGACTAAATTAGAGTTTTAACCAACTATAAAATATATAAAGATATTATAATTATTCTAAAACTAATCATGTTATGATTTTTATCTTATTGATTTAGTAAGATTATAAAGGATCATAGTTGGATGTATAGACATCAAACTCCACGAGGAGAAATAGATGATGAGTTCTATAATGGAGTTGAATATTTCCTTCAATTTGCATTTAGTAGCCTTGGTCTTGGACCAAATGATTTAATCAGATGTCTTCATACTAAATGGTTTAATTTATTGTTGATGACTCAAGGAATGGTATGGGATCATCTTACTAGGTATGGTTTTATGAATGCTTATTCTGTTTGGTGGGCATATGGTGAGACATTTGTGAATTCAGTAGATCCATGGTCTGTTCCTAATTTGAGCAAGTCATCACACAGCCAAGATACACACCATGATGAAAGGAATGACTTTCATGAAATAGTGTATGATGCATTTTGTCCAAAGGATGATGATTATCAAGAAATGAAGGTAATATCCCCAATCAACATCTGGATGAGGAACCAAACAATCAAGTAAAGGCATTTTATGACTTGCTTTCATGCATTTGCAGTGCTCAGTTGGCTCTCTTATATGTTACACACAAAGACTATAAATAATATAACTAGTGGTGCTTTTAATGCCATCATCAAAGGATGTAGGAGGCTGTTAAGTGTTGAAGATCAAGAAAAAGTTCCTACAAACTTTTATGAAGTAAAAAAATTTATGAAAGGGCTTAGGTTAGGTTATCTAAAAATTGATGCTTGTGTTAACAACTGCTTTTATATTATGGGGAGCATACCAAGACTTTGACTACATGCCCAATTTGTGGAGAAGCGAGCTGTAAATAGAGAAATCCAAAGAGGAAAAAAAAAAGGACATTATGAGGAATTCTCTTTGGTACTTGCCAATAATATTTGGCCTTCAGAGGTTATACACGTCTCAAAAAATAATTGAGCACATGGCATGGCATTTGAAATGTTGTGGTGATATAGATGAGGTAATTCATCTAGCCCAATCAAAAGCATGGAGACATTTTGATTGAATGCATCCTTCTTTTAAAAGAGAACCTCGTAATGTTCGATTAGGTCTTGCTATTGATTTCAACCCGTGGGTTCATTCTTCAACCCCCCACTCTTGTTGGCCAATTTTTTTGACTGTTTATAATTTGCCGCTAGAGATGTGCATGCGACCAGAGTTTACATTTCTTACATTGGTCATTATAGATCCAAGAAACCCAAGTAGAAATATCAATGTTTTCATTTGATCTTTAATTGAAGACTTGAAAATGTTATAGTCGAATAGTGTAGAAACATATGATAGTTAACATAAGCAACACTTCATAATGCAGGCTATGTTGATGTGGACCATAACTGATTTTCTAGGTTACGGTATGGTGTCCGATTGAAGCACTCATGGCCGATTGTCTTGTCCTTACTATATGGAGATGACACAATCTTTTTGTCTTCAAAATAGTCAGAAACCATCCTTTTTTTACTATCATTGTTAGTTTTTACCCTAATCGCATCCTTTTAGATTTGAGTAGCCTAATTTCTTAAAGCATTAGGTTGAATTTGGTAGTCCCCATCCTCAATTGGATGGTGTTTTAATGCATCATCGAGTTGAAAACCTTCTTGATGTGTTGTTTGGGAAACCCTTTGAAAACCAAACAATTGAGAGTTTTGGAAACACCTATAATTGGGTGAAAAAGTGCATTTTTTGGGAACTTCCTTATTAGCAGGATAATCTTATTAGCAGGATAATCTTATTAGACATAATCTTGATGTAATGCATTGTGAGAAGAATTTCTTTGATAATTTAATATTGGATTTAACCATTTAGTGTGACTGAGAAAAACTGC